AAATTATGCAAATACATAGGTAACAACTAAAATGGAACTATTGGCTAAGAAATATCAATAGGTATATACCAACTATAGACGTAAATTTTAATTATTGTTATAGGTAAAGTTGCATATTTTGCATAGTAATTAGTTAACGCTCGGATACAATATAATATTCGAGAACTGTACTCTTCATCATCATCATCATCATCATCGACCCATGCTCGTCCACTGCTGGACATAGGTCTCTCCTAATGCACGCCACTGCTCCCGATTTTCTGCCACTCTCATCCAGCCCACTCCAGCCAGCCTACGAATGTCATCATCCCATCTTGTCTCAGGGCGTCCCACACTACGTTTACCGAGTCGCGGTCTCCACTCAAGAACTTTACGGCTCCATCGGCCGTCAGTTCTGCGGCTAATGTGACCAGCCCACTGGCACTTCAGTTTGCTAATTCGGTGGGCTATGTCGGTGACTCTGGTTCTCTGTCGGATTACATCATTTCTGATGCGGTCCTTCAGGGATACTCCGAGCATAGCCCTTTCCATAGCTCTCTGAGCGACTTTAAACTGGTGGACCAGTCCAGCAGTGAGTGTCCACGTCTCGGCGCCGTATGTCATAACTGGGAGGACGCACTGGTCGAAGACTTTCGACTTAAGACATTGAGGGATGGGTGACGAGAAGACTTGACGAAGCTTATGAAATGCTGCCCAGCCCAACTGAATTCTTCTATTGGCTTCTCTCTCAAAGTTGTTTCTGCCTAATCGGAGCGTTTGTCCTAGGTAGACATATTCCTGAACAACTTCGAGAGGTACTCCATTAACAGCAACCAGTCCCGGATCAACGAGCTCGTTGAACATGACCTTGGTTTTATCCAAGTTCATCCGGAGACCGATGCGTCTGGAAGATTCAGCCAGGCTACTCACCATCTCCTGTAGGTCTTGCAGGGTTTCAGCCAGGATGACGATATCGTCCGCGAATCGAAGATGTGAGATGTATTCGCCATTAATATTTATTCCGCGTCTTTTCCAGTTGAGCGTTCCGAACACGTCCTGCAGCGCAGCGGAGAAGAGTTTCGGGGATATTACATCTCCTTGTCTCACACCACGGCGCAGCAGGACAGACTCGGTCTGGCCATTCTGGAGCACGACGGACATATTAGCGGCGTTATACAGACATCTCAGCACCTCGGTATATCGCCAATCAACTTGGCACCTCTGCAACGCCTCAAGAACAGACCAGGTCTCGACGGAGTCAAAAGCTTTCTCATAGTCCACAAACGCCATGCACAGGGGCTGGTTATACTCTTTGGTCTTCTGTATAACCTGTCTGACTGTGTGAATGTGGTCTATGGTGCCATAACCCCGTCGGAACCCGGCCTGTTCTGCAGGTTGAGCTTCGTCAAGTCTTCGTGCAAGGCGATTCGAGATGACTCTCGAGAACAACTTATAGACATGGCTCAGGAGTGAAATTGGTCGATAGTTCTTCAGTAAGGTTTTATCGCCTTTCTTGAAGAACAATACGACCAAGCTCCGGTGCCACGCCCTAGGAGTTCGCCCGGAGAAAAGGACCGAGTTAAATATACGCCGGAGCTCTTTCAGCACCGGCTTGCCGGCAGCTTTCAGAAGCTCGGTTGTGACTCCGTCTTCCCCCGGGGCTTTTCCATTTTTGAGTTGCCCAAGAGCCGCCTCGATCTCCTCGAGACTGATGTCGGGGAGATCCTCCGTCACATGGCGACTTGTACTCTTAGCACGATCCAATACCGAATTAGATCTTGATACGCGTCAAATGATTCCATACAAGAGTATGGAAGATTTTTAATTCTCGTTACGTCCGTTGTAGCGCTGTTTAAATTTTTATACAAAACTTCTTGACATTTGACGTATATAGAAATCAAATTCAACTTATCAAATTCGGTTTTGGTTCGTGTTATGGGTACTGATTAAAATCACATGCGATGTTAACAAACTTTGTCAACTAGAATTTATTATAATAAAATCACCAAAAAACATGGAAGCATGATTTCATTTTTTCCTATATTTTTATTCAAGGCGCAGCAGTAAATTATCTTATATCACATAATGCTAAGTATGAGTTGAGTCCAGGAGGAAATCTATGTCATGTCCTACTTACGGCATTAGAAACAGTAAAGGTTAGGATAGACGATAATGACGATCATGATATAGGTATCGAAATACAAATTTAAGAATGGAATCGCAGTTTTAAAAATATCTAACGCGGCATAAAAATGCACTAATCACCTTCCCGACCAGTGAGTGTATGTGGTAGCTAAGGCCTTTCATTTTATTGCTACAAATCCCAATAAGTATAAAACTCGATAATCTATTCGGAAACATTACTCCACTCTCACTTGAAATTTTTATTATATTATTACAAGAACATTTTTGACGGTGGAAAAGACTTTTAATAATTAGATATAGTAAAGAAAAAAACAATTCATTAATAGAAAAAAATACACTATTTAAAAAAACTGGTTTTGTAGCATACAATGAGAAAGAAATCTTGATTATTTTCACATATAGCAGTTATGCAAATCATAAAAGTTGACATAAACATCTTATTTTAAAACTTTGTGTTCTTGTTGTTTTAGCTACGGGTATTTACAATTACAAATTATCGTAAAAAAACTCAACATTAAAAGTTACAACACTTTGGATAATTTTTGATAATAATTTGGATTCTTACATTTAAATAATTATGACTATGAACATCTAGCTGCTTGAAATATATAAATATTTGGCAACAAACCAATACAATGAAAAAGACATTGCAATCCTAAAAACTTATACTTAATGTAAATAAAAAGTATTGATTTTCTAATAACATGTTTGTATGTTGATCAACAATAGTATATAATAATATAAAATAATATCGCAAAAAAAATATCACTCAGATCAATGCAATTTCAACAGTCAATTAACATTAATGTGGAATAGCTATTTAAAGTTATTAGTCTGCATAATAGCGATAATACTTATAACTACATACACTCTGATCACTGAAGCGATGCAGTAAAGCCAATGTGGCTAAAATAAAAAAGCTAATACATTTTTACAGGAATGAACTTAGCCGTGTAGAAGATAAATATCGGCCGAAATGTACAAGCTCTGGAGCTCTATTTTTGAATCACTCGTCTTGCGTCGAACGCTCGGTTTCTACTAAATTTCATTCGACATAATTAATTCCGTATTTTTGAATCACTCGAGTGCAACGAATGGGTGAGACCACTCGCTGCATGGCGAATGGTGGAGGCGAATGATAGAATAATTTTCATTTTTTTTTGTGGTCATGCTTTAAATGAAAGGACAAAGAGTAGTAGTAATTACCGGTTTTTATTGTTTCTGCGTGAAATGAGTAAAATTTCGTATTTCGTATCAAACAGGTAACACTGGTGACGAGTGATTCAAAAATACGGAAAATCAGTATCATGCGACTTGAAAGTCGAAGGTGACTTATGTCGCATTCGACGATACTATGTCAGACGAGTGATTCAAAAATAGAGCTCCTGCTGTCATTGGCCGGTAGCGCTGTGTGTATTGTTAATCCGAGTTGATCCATATCTCGTGTGACGCAGTGCTCCATCCTTGGCTTTTCTAAGCGATTGTGTTATAGAGAAAGCCCTCCACTAACTGGTTTCCATGAACAGGGTATAATAATGACAAATATTATTACAGAAATTTAAAAAAAATGCGATTTTGCTTAAGTTGGTATTTATAAATTGACCTCGTACAAGGCCAAGGTTTAACGTTGTACTAAACCAAATTCTACGGTAGCTAAGACTACAGCTGTTTTATATATATATTTGCTTATCATCGTGTTCAGACCTCTAAGTGGGGATTACAATTAGATTAATTTTTAATTATTCCGTAACCGTGATAGAATTCTTTAACGAGACCTCGCCGTTTGCCTGATGTCAGTGATAGCAATAACTACAACCGTCTGCATGTCTATATTAAGAAATGATGGTACTAAAATAAATATCATATAGTATACTCACACATGCATTAGATTTTTAAGCACGTTCTGATTTACAAAATATGTGAATTATGAGTATGTATCCTACTTTAATGTTAAATTCATTTTTATCACTTAACTATAAAAATATAAATATATTTTATACCAAAACATGGAGACTAGATGATCATTTTAAATATGAATTCATCAATTAAATCAAATCGATACAGTTTTAATAAATGTAACGATTAATCCACCTCATACAACAAAATATACAAATAAAATCAATATTCTCTCAAATAGTCTCACTATCGGGTAAATTGACAACGTGATTTTGTTGTTTAATAGACTGGCCTATATTTAAGTAACCACTTAAACAACGTAGATAGCAAATAGTGCTTACAATTTATCAGATAGTAACAAACATGCATATTGCAACATCACTCAAATGGTTTACAGCAACAATAACTATGGTAATTGACATCTACTAAAAGTTTGCAATGATGTTTATTCGAGTTTGATGCTATTTTTAGTACTTATTTCATCTGGTTTTGTTAGCATTGCTTAACGTAAGAATTAGGCACTATTTCACCATAACCACAATTAAATGTTGATTTATATACTTTAAGGCATCTATAATATTATTTATTGATTAATATTATTACCAAAATTAATTAGGCAACACAACGAAATCTACTAAACTTATTAACTATTTGATAAAAAATATTTAATGTTTTCAATCTGAAATAAACGACAGACAGGCACTTTTTTTAACTCAAGAAATTGTTTTGTTTGAAATAAAATGTCGAATATTTTTGGTACATAAATCAAATTTAACTTGATAATCTCTTTTAGATCTAGTCAAAATAATTTACGTAAATACTTAATTACCAGATAGTACTGTTCATAGTATCACAAGCATATACATATGTCTATATATTATTTGCAATTTAACACATAGTTAAAGTTTCCTATACTCATACAGTGATAATCAATTTGTCAACAGCCTCCATTAATTTTGGAACATTATCAACTTTCATACCTCGTTTACGAAGATCGTTTAATTCTTCAACCAATTTAGACTTATCACGCCCCAATGTTTCCCTGTAAGAATATAAACAAAAATAACGATATTTACAAGTACAAACAGTATTAAGCTGATAAAATTACTTTAAAACTTTATCAAATCTATTTTTAAGATAAATTAAATTCTGACTTCACAATTATATTATTAATGCGATTGTGATACACAAATAAGTCATTCATTGTTACACAAATAAGTCATTCATTGATAAATATCTATTACACATGCATGAAACATCAAATATTAGTTTCCTGTTATGTCGAACATAATGTTTCATCAGTTTGTGTACAGTTAAGACAATTCTTTTAAAAAAATATTTTTAGTTCAACACCACAAACAAACTCACCAAGCTACAACTAAAGGGCATTTATAAGTATGTCAAATCTGCAATTGCTGAAACTGACCTATTTTCGTCAGGCTAGGTGTGTGATTTTTTTTTAATCTTTTAGCACCTACAGAGTTTGGTAGTAAGTCATGTAATTGTAAGCTATTGTTCTAGATGCACCTTTAAATGTTAATACTCACTAGCCCCCACTTAGTCAATTTTTTTTTTACTTATACAGTAATGTACCATTATAATGATTCACTCTGTAATAAGTGGTAAAGGCAATACCCGAATAATAAAGATCTAAGCACATGAAACACAGATAGTTTTATAAAAACTACTTACTCGTATCTGTTACCACTAACACCAGTAATGAAATTCTTTACATTTAATTAAAAAAAATATAGATGAATACATTGGTATAATATTATAAATATACCATATGAAAATACTGGCTATTAGAGGAATGTATTATTTATTTAATAGGTACACAAACAGAGTGCCGTTATTACATAGGTAAATACATAAACTGCCATCCACAAAATGTTGAACAAATCAATTACCGTTCTGTTTTTTTTTTAAATCCAATATAAGTTCTATGCATTCTGACTAATAGGATTATAAGACGTGTTATTTTTATAAACTTGAATTGCGAATTTTTATAAACTTGAATTTGGTAGTCGGGGCATTAGTTAAAGAAGTAGATAGTCTAATCCAGTGGTGAGCAAACCTTTGGAATGGCAGGCCATAAAATTTATGAAATTCTTAAGGAAGGTCTTTGGAGTTGAAATTGACATATGACTAAAGAGTCATATGTAAATTTCAACTTTTATACCAACTTTTTAACATCCAACCTTCGAAACAATTCAAATTTTTTTTTCAGACTATATAATATCCAAATTGAATACCTGTCGGCGGACCAGATGTGGCCCGCAGACCGTACTTTGCCCACCACTGGTCTAATCTATTTTTTAAAAAATAATGAAAACATACTAACCATATGGAAATACAGGCATGTATTAGAGGAACGTATATGATTAACAGGTCAGAGTCACTGACAGCCTCGTACCGTCTAAGAGCCAGCTGAGCCCACTGCTCTACTGGACCTGCCAGAGCACCCCCACTTGCTTCTGCGCATGCCACAATACGACAGAGAGCACTAAGCACTACTCGAGACCTATCTGTATAAAGCTGAAATATCAAAAAATAATTGATTGAAGGTCTTAGATCATATACTAGTTTTATCTGGTATAAAGACTCCAAGTTATATTTTTTCAATATTATTTGTTGATGTTGTACCTACCTTTAAGTAATAAATGTAGTTAAATATTATCAAAAGATAGTTTGCTTCAAAACCACTGAAGAATAAAGTTTTTAATAGGACTATCATTGTCTTTTATAAGACAAAAGTTTTAAGAGGAAAAAGAAACATTGTATGTGTACAATGTTTCCTACTGTTTTTAATCAGATGAGATTGGAAAGTGTTGATTACAAAAATGATTCATTATATCCAGCTTGTTAATAATGAAAATGGAATTATAGTTAACCTTAATTACTATTTACTATTATATATTACTTATTCAATTAATACCTTATTTAATAATTTGAAACTTGATTCTAGTAGAGAAAGGGCTTGGTCAAATTTTTTTTCTTCTATAAGTCTCTTGGCCTCATTTAACTCAATGTCCTGGAAAAATGATATCACTGCTGGGGAGTCCCTCGAACTAAAATTATTTGCAACAGTTCTGACTAATGTTTCAAAGGCAAAACATCTTGTTGATATCAAGCTTGGCTCAAAATTTCCAACCAGCATCTGTAATCATCATAATATGAATACTTTATTTTTTGTATTTTTACACTACAATTTCAGCTTTGTAATTCAGATTTTTATTTTATTTTTTATATAAAAGCCATGTATATGTTACTTGTTATGTTTTCCTTGTAGCAAATAATAATCAAACTAAAATTAGAAACTATAATAAGAATTTCTTCAAAATTATTAAAATAGCAATACCAACTTGATTGAAATAGTAGAACTGTTATAATTTTTATTATTTTTAAAGCATGTAACGGCTAAACGGTACAACCGCGATACCAAGGTTGAATGTATGTTATATTTTTTACTGAAAAGATCTGTATTTAAGAAGTAATTTGTGCTAAGTTTCATCACCCGGAGATGCGTAGTTTCTTTGAAAAAAAAATATGAAAATCGAAAATATTTCGTCAATAATGACTAAACTTTGACAGGTTTGTCATATATTGTACTTGTTAGTTTTGTTCAAGCAAAGGTAATGGGTTTATAGAGCCTTGAATAAAACGTTTTGATTTTAAATTTTTTAATAAATTTACTGTAAACTTGCAAACAATATCTGATAGTTTGGCTCAGCTTTCCATTATATGTAATTGAGTTGCAAGCTGAAATTTTTGTCACGCAAAGTATTAACTATTATAAACACGTACACGAAATCTTTTAAGGCGGAAACGAATAGAACTCGAGAAAAAAATTATTGAAAATTAATGTTTTTGTAGGTTATGAGTCAATTTTGACAGAAATTTTGATCAGTGCTGCCATTTTTTTATGCAAAAATAACATGTTTCTCGTTGTCTATGGTAAATATAAGTTTATTAAGTTGGTGCTATTGTCAAAATGTGACAATTTACCGCCATTAATGAGATCTGTCAGTCAGTGTTTGTGTTCGTCACAATTGAGAGCTTTTTCGTACTCCTGTTGATATTAACATCGTCTGACTACCATGGCATCCTCAAAGCCTTCGGCCTCGAGTTCTGCTGTCCCTTCGCCTGAAGAGTCGAGTGTAGTGCGAGTTTTGGACTCTAATGAGCCGCTTGTGTGGTGATACTTCACACTAGGTTAGGTTAGGTTAGTGTTGTGACCTTAACGCGCGAGCCGAGCGAGCGAAGCGAGCGTGCCGCGGGAGCGGCCGGCGAAGCGCCAGAAAGAAAAATTCGTTAATAGAGACTCTTTCTACAAAAAAATCTAGGCCCTGGAAGTACAGTTTTACCTTTAAAACCCCTCTAATTTTTTATAAATATCATTTCTGTAAAAAAAAACGCCGGGAGGGGGGGGGGTTACCCTTCCCTCTGAGGAGTCTTCCCTTATACCTATCCCCCTGAAATTCCACTACATTTAACAGATTTAATGAATTTTTAGGTTAGGTAAAAAAAAAACTGCATTTCCGCCAAAAATCTTTTATTGCGGGGTTGTCGGGGAGAGCCCCCCCTCCCCCTCCCCTACAAATTACCCCAAAATTCGATTACATATAATGGAATTAAGTACCGATAGTTTAAATGTATACTTAAACAAAGGTCAAAAACCCCTTCCCCTACCTTCAACCCTCCCCGGGTTGAAGGTAGGGGGAAGGGTTCCCCATCCAAATTCTCTAAAATGCACAATAATGTAACTTTTATAAATTTATAACCTCAAAATGTCTTTATTGCATATCTCTGAAACTATGCGTTTCCGGGGGGGGGGGTGGAAGTAGTTAGGGGGGCTTTGGGGGGCTCCCCCTCCCTCCCATCCTCCAAAACCCCAAATTTTTGTATCGCGTTTGTATCTTCTTTATTGCATATCTCTAAAACTATGCGTCTCCGAGGGGGGGGGGGAGTAGTTAGGGGGGGTTTGGGAGGTCCCCCCCTCCTCCCCCCATCCTCCAAAACCCCAAGTTTTGGTATCGCGGTCGTACCTTCTTTATTGAATATCTCTGAAACTATGCGTCTCTGGGGGGGGGGGGGGCGTAGTTAGGGGAGGTTAGCCCCCCCCCCCCCTCCCCCCCCATTCTCCAAAACCCCAAAAGTGTGGTATCGCGGTTGTACCTTTTTACCCATGTAACTGCTTGATGTTTAAATCTAAAGAAAATATAACTAGAAAAAATTCCACGCGGACCAGGCCCGCCCGTCCCGTCTGCTGCCTGGTCTGCGTGGAATTTTTTCTAGTAGAACTGTATTTAAAACTTAATTCATTAAATAACTATTACTAAAAATAAACACAGGTAAAAAGAACAATGAAAGTAATGAAACACAAATTAATGTGATTGATACAGCATACTACTCACCTTTCTTGGAAATGATATATTACTTAACAATGCAGTGTGATCCTTCTTTAAGCCATTATAAAGCTCTAGGAAATGGGTGTATCTGCGCTCCACATTGGAAGGATCGGAATCGTAAATATTAGATTCTTTGTCGTCCTTCCTGACTTGTAACATGTAAGCAACAAATTTTTTCTCGCTGTCTACACCCTCCACTATTCGTGAGGACACTATTTCAAACTTCAACATTGTGAAACTGTCTAAAAAGGATTTTTAGTTAAACGTTTAAAATGAGAAACTAGTATTTAGACGCGTCACTGAACAATAAATCATCACCAACGCAAAATACAAACAAAGCACACGGAAAATCAACTTCATCACGTCCGTCACTGTCAATCAAGTGACATACAACTTTTTTAACGATCTTCCTTTTTTAAGGAAGGCAAAGCGAACAACGCTCATACAGCCTAGTCTTAATTTTTTTTGTTCTTTTTTTTACATAAAATGCTTTCGCATTCGAATGGGTGTGATGCATTCTAATGTTTCTTGGAGTGTTTGTCAGCGAGAGTTAGCTTGCTCGATAAGCTTCTGTGGGGTAGTCAAGGTACATATTAAAGATCATTGTAATGGTGTAGTATATGTATTTGGAGACTTTGGGCCTGAAGAGATATAAGACTGGACGGTTGTGTACAATATTTAGATTTCTTTAAATTCAAAGATATAATTGAACCTTTGCTCTTAACATATATTTGACCACCTAAATAACTCATATTTTTATGAAGCTGACTATAGAATAGATTAATTACATTCCTTGTAAATAAAAGTTATGCATATATTAATAGTTGATCGCTGACTGTTCACACTGCTGGCGAAAACTCTCTCTACTGTTTGTCGCTGAGCGACAAGAGCTATCAATAATAATACTAGCTCAGCTTGCTAGTTTGTCTCAATACGTGCGGGCAGCATTTTTGCTCAGGATTGTCTCCTCAAGCGAGTAGCGCAAGTAATTGTATTGTAAAGTAGTATGAAAATTCATATCTATCCTGTTTTAGCGTCCAAATTAATTAGAGTCTTTCTTTACAATGGCTCATAATGGGCGATTATAGACACGCCCGATTATGTGGAGGCGTCTATGGTGGCCATCATCGCCTGTAATCGTGAGTAATCGGTAGATTGTCGGTACATCAAAGGGATGTGTGCCGATGATCATGCGCGCATCCACACACACAATTGTCCATTACTCAGTCACACGAAAGAAGACAAGGTTCGAGAACATGACATGTGTAAATTAAAGCCAAAGAGTGCTCAAGTTGTATGGAAGTTTCCTTGGGTAATAATGACATAGGAGAGGAAGGGCACTGGGCCCAATCCGCACAATGTCAACAGCGAGTACATCACCTTCAATTTGTCAATTACAGTGTAGTTGTAATGGTAGGGCAGCCTAAGCTATGATTTTTCTATTTACTTGAACGCGGCAGAATAACATAAGGAGGCACCAACCCTGCACCATTTGAAGTACTCCCACCAGACTTGAGCCGAACGTCTAGGGCAGCAAAGAAAATTTTTCATCAAACGGCCATGACTTTTCGTCGCGTCTAAATCGTCAATCTTTTGAATATGAGCTACTGGAGGGTTCACGTAACATCCCTTTTCAATGTCTGACGCGCTCGAAGATTAGTTTTTCCCACATTCTACCCCTTCTTACGGCTACCCCCACACCATGCAAACCGGCAGATCAATATTTTTTCCGTCTTTAGAACCGCTACGTGAACCCTCCAGTAGCTTCTATCAATCAACTTTTTCAGGAATTGAACTTTCAAACAGTCTATCGAATAAACTTGATCACATTTTAACTGAACTTAAGCGTATGTACAGTCACGTAAGAGCGTCCGCTGCCTTAGCATTCTGCGACTGACGTGGTTAAATTTTTACAATAATTATAATACTGACGTGGTAGTATTTAAAATTTTAAATATTAATTTGTTAGGTGAAAATTTAATTTCATTTATAAAATATTTTTTTCGAAAGATTTAATAAAGTTTTTAAAAAACTAGGATAACATACCCTTAGGTTAAAGTACACGAGACAACATTTCAGAAGTAAATATTTTTAAAGAATTTAATTATGCAGCTATTTTATTCCTATTTATTAAAATTTTAGACGAAGAACTGTAGTGCAATTCTGTAAAACCCATAATCTCATCTCACTGTGTGTGTCGGATCCATTTTGCTTTCGCTCTCTAGGTTTCGATTCACGGAATTTTCGCATTCTGTAACCAATTGTACAAGCAAGTGAAGCGAGATGTCATTCATATCCTAAGTAATTTGTAGTGTTACCATTTTAAAAGTTTTTGGTAAATCGAGATATATCGACTTAGTTATTATGCGTGAAAAAAAGCACGTAAATTTATTTTTTAGATATATTTGTAGATATGAGGCTCAAGTCTAAAGTTTTAATGAATGTAAAGTTAAAATAGTCTTATTTTTAAAGTTTGGTAACTTGGCCGAATGAGGGCTTACTCTATGCACATCTCTGTAATCGAGTGAGAATCGACACTGGCGCTACTAAGTGAGAGTGGCGGTTTAGTAAACTATCACAGGTGAGACCATATCATACCTAAATGGCTTTGACGTTTCAATGGCATTCTGTAACGAATTTCAGCGCTTGTTTACACCTCACATTAAAAACCGCACTCGAAAGTAACTGTCAAAATAAAAGTTACTCATTAGCTGCGGTAATAGAAGTGATTGTACGAAGTGAGTATTTCTGTAGACTATTATCATCATAAAACAAGAGTAATTATTAAATTATTTATAATTACGTTGCTTTTGTTTATTTAAGTAATAATTCTTTAAAATTATGTCTATCTAGTATTTCAGATGACTCACTCTATTACTAGCTTTTTACTATAGAAATGTATGATGTAGATTTGGCCAGAAGCCGCCTACAAGCCCAATTTCTGTGTAACCTTGAGTAATTTCATGTGAAGATGAATATGTGACTAAATAAAGATTTTTTTCAACAATTGGAAAATGATTTAAAGTATTCATTTAGAAGAAACCAAGTGTAATGGAAAAGGATTATCCAATAGAATGAAGGTAAAGTACCTAATTGCATAACAAAAATAAAACCCAACCAAGAAACTTTTTATAACAATTATATAAGAATAAAAAGTTTTTTTTGTTTCAGATACTGTGTACACTTTCATTTGTGCAAATGGGAGTTACTAAGGATAATAGGGCAAAAAATTACACACATTTATCCCAACCATCAATATCAAGACTTGTTAATGAAATTGCCACCTTTTTAAGATTTTATGTCATCCAGACATAGCAAAATGCATCACAATGCCAAGTGATAAAGAATTGGTAAGTAAACTTTGATTCACTACAATTAAACAAATACCTGGGCAAATAGGTGTACAAAAGATATAATAAAGTAGACCCTCCGGTATAAATATTACATATAATTCAAGTAGAACAGTGTTTCTTAGTTTTTGCAATCCTTTACTTTAATTATTTTAGAATATTTTATGTGGGTAATAAAATTTCTATTTGTAGTTTATTTAAATTATCTAATACTTAAGTAGTTAATGCTAACTGCTATTCAGGACCACTTTTTATTTAATTAATTTTTAATGCCTTTACATTACATATGGCGGTCTTAATGCCAGCATAGCATTCTCTACCAGTCAACCGGAAGGAACGAGAGTCAATAAACGACATTTAACTTTGGTTTAGACCAATTTACCTTTAAAAAAACTACTAGGTATATTTTTTTGGAGTTATTTTAATAAACTTTACTTTTGTTACAGATTTTTGGAGAAATTTAAAATGCCTGCAGCTGTTGGTAGTATAGACTGTACCTTTATCACCATAATAAGACCAAAAGAACCTTTAGTAAAAAGCATAAGGCAACGGTGTTGTGTAAACATTAAATGTAGTTAATGTTAATTGAATAAATATATTTAGATTTAAAAAATAGTCACTCATATTTTTAACCCTTCACCACAGTAAACTACAAAAGTAATGATTTTATTGAACTATTTCATCATCAGCCTATTCCTGCCCCCACTGTTGAGGCAGATGGAATAGGGAGACTGGCCGTGACCCACCTAGTAGTAGGACCTAGTGCGGACTGATCAGTGCTAAGGACTGCAGATGCAGCTGGGACCAATAGATTGATGTGTCATCTGAAACACGGAGAAGATCGAGATAATAAGTTTTTGGTCACCCATACAATTACCAAAAGTTGCCTAACTTTCATGATTGCAGGATGAATACTCTAAGCACCTGCGTCTCCGGGCTCCTCTTTATTTAGATTGAACGTTTTAAATGTTCTACATAAAAACTAACTATTTAAGAATTAGTTTCTGTGTAGTTCCTATATTTAATATACATACCTACTTAATTCTGAATGATATATAATATAGACCGGCGAGTTGCGTAAACCCCCATTGCAATGAAAATGAAGATAATTTAATAAAAGGGTGATTATTTATAGTAAAACTCATTAAAATAAATATGTAACATTTTTATTCATAAATTATGACAGATGCCTTTGAAACTGTACATTACATTGTTACATTTTTGTCAGAGATGCTCGTCAGCCTATTTGCCAATTTTTATGTTTTTTTGTATATAAATAAAGAGAAAATTGAATATTAATCGATGCTTTTCTGAACAAGTATCTGAGTGGTGTTATATAAAGCAGAAGTAGTGGATCACTAAATAGCTGTGATTATTACTTCCATCTGTGAAAAGCAGTTGGCGAATAGGCCTACTGTGGCCTGTCTGGTGTGGTCTGCAGGTTGTAGATGTAGCTGACGCAGTGACCACTTCTCATGAATATAATGTAAGCAGTCTAGCACCGCAACAATAGGCCGTGTGTCATTAGACAAATTTTAACAGAGATCTTTGTTGAGATGGAGGCGAAGCCTGCCAAGGACTTGTTGTGCGTGTTGCTGAAATAAAAAAAAAAAAGTTGTTGAATAACAACAATAAATGTCACAATTATGATTGGGCCTGGGTCAGAATAAACTTATTAATGATACTCTTTTTTTCTTTTAACACAAACTTTATGATTTTTATAAAAGTAAAGTATTGAGATAAGAAAATAATCAATATTATTACATTCTATTAATACGTACTTGGAGCACTATATTCGAAAATATTCACAACTACAAAATAACAATATGTACTAATCAAATTTTCTCTTATTCTCTTTTTACAATGACACTTATAAATAAATCCGAAAATATATAAAAAGAACATAAATCAAAAAAGAATTAAAAGAACTTATTTTCTAATGTGCCAGTGCCTGCGAGCGAAATGTCCATAGACACTGGCTGTATTGCGACATGGACCAACGTTTGTGCGGTGGAAATAAAATAAT